GTCCACATGTATTGTCGCTCATTGTGTTGTTGAAAAAGTAAATGACTTGCTATGAGCAAGTCATTGGTTTTGCAAAATCCTATCATGCGATCTCCAGCTTCATGTCTACCACCAAGTCCATGTTTTCCAACTACCGTTCCTTCCTCTTTGTTTCCAACTTTTGCATTCCAATCACCAACTGTGGATTTCCAAGACTGTAACTTTTTATTGGAGCGGAAACCTGCTGGTTCCGTTTCTCTGGAGACCCTGAGGAGTAAATTGACCATGGCTACTAGATGACAATGTGCAGCTCACTGCCCTGGAGCCAGGGCTGCCGCGGGAACCTTACAGGTCAGGGTGGGGCTTCCCCTAGGGGACTGCCGAGCTGTACCTCTTTTCAGAGGTAGAAAGTCCCATCCAGAAAAGCCCCACGTTGGCAATAAAGAACACTCTAGTCTTACGCTGCTGAGAAGAGTGCATATAAGTAACAAAATTTTACATTAAAACAAGATACGCATATTATAATAGAACTAACACAACTACAAAAACATAAGCAACAAAACTAAGAAGAGATACAGCGCATACCAGGGGTGGGTGATGACAGAAAGGAGGAAAACTCAAGTCTACAGATGTGAAAGAGCAAGAAGAGACGAGAACACAGGAAAAGGGAGACAAACAGACATTTTAAATGACATAACTAGTAGAAAAGGATCCAAAGATACCAATGATGATTGTCAGTTTAAATAGACTACACCCTTGTTAAAAGCAAAGACTGTAAACATGAATTTTAAAAATTCAACAATATGTTATTCGTTTAAAAAGTCAATCTGAATGTTTTATAACCATCAAAACATATGGTACAGGAGTGGTCTACTGTTTCATTATATAAGACTGTCATGTCCCGGGACATATTTATTCCTAAATACTTTATTCACTGAGATTCTATTGTAAATATCATTCCCTTCATTTCCCTTTCAGACGTCTCCTTGCTGAAACATAGAAATGAACTGATTTTTGTTTATTGACTTTGACCTCTACATCTTTGCTAAATTCCTCCATTACATATAGATTTCTTGTGGACTCTGGAGTTTTCTACAAAGACAAGAGACGGCAAATACATAAAGAACAACATTTATTACTGATTATGTGGGGTATGGAGAGAGATTGATGTTGGCAGGGTTAATGCTGATAGAAATACTGCCTTGATTAAGGGGTAGGAGTGCATAGCTTATTATTATACTCTTCAATACATTTACTGGCTGAGGTAGTTAGTTTATTATGCCTACCTGGCCGATAAAAACACGTGGGATTAATTGAAGGGCAGAGAGATAAATGGCTGGGCAAGCCTTGCCTTTTTTGTCTCTTTGATCATCAGACCAGTATGCGGCTCCCTTGCTTGTTCTGTGCTTCCATTTGCAAGTTACACTACCTGTGGGACACCTAACCCGTGGACTGTGTCACTGTAATTTGAGGTTCCTTCAAGACCTGCTTCGCCACACCATTGGAATGTACATCTCTTGAGTTGGGGACTGTCAGACCCTGTCATCTGGCTGACTGTTGAATGGCCTTGCTGTTTGCTGCCTGTGCCTGGGTAGCCTGAATTGCTCTACAGAGGACTACCTGGCGGCCCTCAAGACTTGAAGGACTGCCAGTGTCTCACAACTGTCTCACGGGAGTGAGTTGCACTGAGCCATTTGTACTGCTTTATAATTTAATTAATTGTTTATTTCTTATGTTATCTATCTATCTGTATAAATATATATAAAATTATTAGCATTCTGGTTTTGTTTCTCTAGAGAACCCTGTCTAACACACTGGCAAAAAACTGTGCATGGATACATTTGCAACAATCTCACAAATACATGGGCACACCTCAATACTAGCTGCTAAGGCTGCTTATGTACGATCAAGTACCCCATTGGCTTTGGTTCTGTAGCTTCAAGATTCAGGGCTATGGTTTCATGAGACTGCCCGGTCCACTGGCCTCATAATGCACTTAGTGCGTCTGTACTGCCTCCTAGTTTGTTACCTAGTGCCTTCAGTCTAGTAGCCAGGCCGAGGAAGCTGCAGGACTAGGAGGCAGAGATGGAGATTGCCTCCACGACTAACTGTCTGAGCCAGGGGTGCCAGCTTCCATTAGGAAACATCCTGCTCAGAGAGCAATCCTGATCGAAATGTAGAAATGAAAGTCGGATTTTTTTTAAATTGGGGGTTCTTACAGCTCTTACCACAATCCATACATCCATCCATTGTGTCAAACACATCTTTCCATATGTTGTCATCATCTTTTCCAAAATATTTTCTTTTTCCTTGAGGACCTGGCATCAGCTCCTCATTTTTTTGAAGGTCAGAATTTTTAATGATCATGGACTCCATATTTACTGGGGCCATGACATTTCCATTAATCCCTGAAACTCTTACTCTGATACAATGTTACAATCTTAAACCAATCTTAAGCCAAAACCATCCTCCCAAAGTCTTAAGACCAGACAATAGAGTAGCTTAACTAGTAAAAAGAAGAAACAAACAAATAACTAACTAGCTGCCTTGAGCACTGGGCGCTTTTAAGCTCTATCAATGTGGGACTCAATTGACAGTAAACTGTGGACTGCTAGAAAAACAAACCAATCTGTCCTGGATGAAGAACGGACAGAATGCCCCCTAAAAGGGCGGTGGTAAGGCTTTGCCTCGCATACTTTGGATATAGAATCATGAGAGGCCAGTTTCTGCAAAAGGACAACATGCGTGGTAAAATATAGCTTTACCAACAAAGAGGAAGACCCCCAACTCAGTGGATTGACGTGGCGGCTGCAACAATGGACTCAAACATAACAATTGGGAGGATGGCACAGGACCTGGCCACGCTTTGTTCTGTTGTACAGAGGATCACGCTAAGCCCGAGCTCCTCGATAGTACCTACCAACCACCACCTCAGCGCACTTTCATTAATGTGAAGGAACAACTCAGACAAGGACCGGAAGAATGGTGGTACATCTCAAGCCCAGTGGTACACGTAATACGGTTGGATTGGTGTCTATTTTACTGTGTCTGTTCTGAGCAATAAAAACAAAAACAAACAAACAAACAACAATAGATACTAGGTTTAAAATGTTACCCCAAAATACACCCGATCCAGACAATTTTTTAAGCCTGCTGGAACATTTAAAATAAGCAGAAAAAAGAGAAAACTATGTTCTTCTGAGACAACGAGATAGGGGATCAAGTAGGAAGAAAGCATTATTAACTCATTTTATAAAAACGCAAAACCAAATCCAGCTCTGTTGAGCTGAGTCCAACTCATAGAGATCCTATGAATAACAGAGTAGGCCTTGTCTGGATGATTCCCAAAGCTGCCACTTTCCTGGAAGCAGCCCACCATGTCTTTCTCCCACGGTGTAGCCGGTGACTTCCAACCGCCCACCTTTACATTAGCAGTACTGTATATGACAAAATCAGAAGTCAATGCTACACACCTAAACACGTTACAAAAATACTCCAACAGATACCAGCAAACCAAATCCAATTGCCCTGCCTCCCCAATGACACATGTGTGCTGCTTTGTCAGCACAGGGATTTGCCTTCCTTATGATTTTACCCAAGTTCCATGGCCTTCCTTTCTGCCATACTCTGTGCCATCCTCTATGGATTTCAAAACTCATACAGATGTTTATTTTAATACTGGGCTCACAATGCCCCAAATTCAAAGCTTTGTTAAGCCGAATCTCTAATAAGAGTTCAATAATTAGTCACACACTCTCGAACTCCTCTCCACACAAATCTAAAAATCTAAAGATCTTCTTCTCTTTGTCCAAAGCTTTCAATTTCTTCCTCTCCTGGTTCCTGATTATTATGATATCTACACCTTTCCCGTCCTGTCCTTCAACTACTTTCCCATGTCCTTCAACTATTGCCTACTTGTATCTTTCTCATCTCTCTTATGCCTCTGCTATTGGGTTTATACAGGTAATTCTTTATATTTCCTAGATTTTTCTTTCTGCTATATCCGATATCCTGAAAACAATCCTTAGTAATTTCTACATCTACTTCTAGGAAATGAACTATAAATGTATTTAATGTTTCACTCATACGATGGTTATGAGAAGTAGTCAGTAATAAAAAGTGCTTAGACTTGTGGACATCTACTAAGTTCAAAGTCGTATTAATCAGTTGCCATCAGGTTGATTGTGACTCATGGAAACCCAGTGTGTGTCCCTGTCGTGTTCCGCAGGACTTTTAATGGGCAAGTTTTCAGAAGTTGATTTCAGGATATTTTTTTTTTCTGAGTCATCTCTGGGTGACTCAAACCTCTACCCTCTGATTATTGTTTTAATCACTCAGTTCCCCAAAGGATGTCTTCTGAATCCAATGTAATCAAGCAAACAAACAAAAAAATCACTCGAGTTACAGAAGCATTATAAAGATAAGGCAATTCTCTTAAGATATATCCTACACTACTAAAGCATTATCTTTATATTAATGGTAAAATTTTTCTAATATGCACATGCAAAAACACATTTTTTTCTCCATACTTTATGGTCAATAACAAAGTGAAGCAAATATTTTAAGACAATGATACACAGGCTTACCAATAGCTCATAAAGGTGAACTATGTGAAAAATCTTTTACAACAAATTTAAGCTGATTTGATATGCTACGTTTGATAAGTGCTCAATAGACATATTAATTAGACTTTGTCATTGCCTTCCTAAGGACAGTTTCCACGTTAAAGATCAGGCGCAGAATGACAGTGGTTAAAAGTGGCCGACTATATTTGAATTCTTTCTGGTGGCTAAGGAAATATAATATGTAAGTATTTCTTAGTATTTACGTGAGCTCTACCCACAAGAGTAGAATGACAGCATGCCTCTGTCAAGCTGTAAGGTGTATCAGCTATAGCCTATCTACCCAAAAAAGCCCCAAACTCAGAACAAAAACAAACCTATTTGGGTTTTGAGTCAATTAGTATTTTCAAGGACCCAAACGAGAGTCACAGGCAATGACCCCCTTACATGAACACGCACCTTGAGTTTGTGCTCCTTCCGGTTGACGATCACAGCTGTGATCTGCTGGTCCATGAAAATCAGAATGGTGACCAACAAGGCAGGGATGGCAGCGGCAAGGTACACCCACCAAGGGTTGGCTCCAAATGGTGGAACAAACCAACCTCGGTTTGGACTTGTTGGCTTGAAAGAGAGAGATTATCATTCAGAACAATAGTTAGTTAATACATACTCAGAAAACAACAACACAAAAACAGCAAACAAACAACAAAAGCCAAACTCACTTCCATTAAGTCACTTCTGATTCAAAGTGACCTTATAGGGCAGAGTGGAATGCCAGTATGGGTTTCTGAGGCTGTAGCTCTTTTGGAAAGCAGAAAGTCTAAGCTTTCTCATCCAGAGTGGCTGGTGAGTTTGAACTGCTGACCTTGCAATTAGCAGCCCAACAGGAAACCCACTATGCCACCCGGGATCCAAATACATACTATTTGGTGAACTATCAATGAGGGTTAAAAAGATTTAGTTTTTCCTCTGGAGAATCAATACAACTTGTCACTGATATGATAGGCAGGACAAAGATTATTTTCCAAAGGACTTTACTGTGTGGGAGGCAATACTTTAAAGAAAGGGGATAAATAACATGGGCTGATGGAACAGAAGGAAGTGCCATTTTGAGAACTTGGAGTAATTCAGAAAAATGACTCAAGATGAAAAAAAGTGATGCAGAGTAATAGGAAGTCAGAAGAAAGCCCCAAGCCCCAAATGCAATTTTCAATAAGTAGTATAGGAAACAATTTAAAAACTATCACAGATTTCGTTCTTGAGTTTCAGCAATTAAGTTGAAATTGTTTTTAACTATTGCTAAAATGTAATATCTTCATAATATTAAAAAAATCTACTTGAAAAGTCATAAATGGAATAACGATACTAGGAGGGTAAGGCAAGGTGGGGAGTAAGGGGGAACCGATCGCAATGATCGACATATAACCCCCTCCCAGGGGGACGGACAACAGAAAAGTGGGTGAAGGGAGACAGCGGTCGGTATAAGACATGAAAAAACAATAACTTATAAGTTATCAAGGGTTCATGAGGGAGGGAAGCTGAGCGAGGGAGGGGAAAATGAGGAGCTGATATCAAGGACCCAAGTAGAAAGAAAATGTGTGAAAATGAGGATGGCAACATCTGTACAGATGTGCTTGACACAATGGATATATGCATGGATTGGGATAAGAGCTGCAAGAGCCCCCAATGATGAACTTATTCAAACAGTCTGGTTTTTCTTACAGATGAAAAAATGATTTAAATGATGAGTTAAATCTTCAAAATTATGACTTTTAGAAAACCGGAAAAGGTAACAATTTCCTCTGCCACTGTCAGTCGGTTTGTTTTACTGCAGTGGCTTGTATGTTGCTGCCATGCTGCAAGCTGGGTCATTGGTATTTCATGCAGCAGCAGGGTCACCCACAGTGAACAGGTTTCAGCAGAGCTTCTGGAGTAAGAACAGACTATGAGGAAGGACTAGGCTGTCTACTTCTGAGGAATTAGCCACTGGAAACCATGTGGATAGAATTGAAACAGGCTGAGATATTGACGGTGTAGTGAACAGAAGCAGACATTGTCAGAGTGGTGCTAGAAGACAGCCTGACAGGTCAGAAGACTCTCCAAATACTACTGAGGAAGAGCTGCCTTCTCAGAGGGGACCCCAGGGAGGTGGGGGGAGCCTCTGGGAGGGAAGCTTCAGGAACTTCATTAGCTGATGGGCATGACTCAAAGTGAGAAGAAACAGCTGACAAAATCTACTCACAATCAGAAATTGGAATGTGCAAAGTATGGATCTAGGAAAACTGGAAGTCATAAAACAGGAAATGGACTGCATAAAGATTGAGAGCCTTCGGTTAGTGAGCTGAAATGGACAGGTACTGGTAATTAAGTTTGCTCTGCTGGGAATGAAACAACCAAGAGAAATGGGATTGCATTCACCATCAAAAGGACATTTCAAGGTCTATCGTGAAGTAAAATGCTGTATGCGATAGGATTATGAATTTTGGTTATGATTCTAATTTGACATTTAATTTTAGTGAAAAAATGGATTCGATGTATATTTGAGCTTATTACAAGACTGCTAGTGGGGAAAATGCACTAAATTAATTGGGAAAAGTGTAATAAAATAGATTAAGGGGATGGTATGACAGCCAAAATGGTCCAGGAAAACCAAAGACAGTCACTCACTCACCTTCAGTTCACTTGGCACAATTAGTTTTGGAGTGTCCACACCGACTAGGGCATCTATTATACAGAAGATGAGGATGGACAAGATAATAGCAAAGTCACTGATAAGTTTTCTTGCCTGTGAAAAAAAGAAAAGAGAAACAGTCCCTTTAGCATATATTCAGATATTGACCCATGGTTGAATTGAATGAAGAATTCTACAGTTGCTAATAACCTTATTAAAAAATCCTCCATGTTATTAACCTTATCAAGAAATGGAAGAAAATGTCACACTGCTAGAGTGCTATTTTAAAACTTCTCTTGGCATCATGTTTTCATGGGGCCAGGAGGAATTGGATCCCACAGACAAGATATGATGTGTGGATGTGTTTTAAGAGAGTGTAGACCGGACAGAGACATCAAATAGATTATTGTACAAACACTCTTTCTGTACAAAATTGAAGACACTTTGTGAGAGTCTGTACAAAGACACAGAATTACGTTTATCATTTAGAGTTGTGGATGTACGGCAATATATGGGTTAATCCAATAAACTAAGCTGAAAATTCCAATAATGTAACAGGGAAGGAATTAAAAAGTCTAGTCCATTGTGAGATGGAAATATGAAGACCTGGACAATAGTAACATCAGGTGATGGAAGATGGAGTGTAATAATTTAATCAAATTTTTCCAAATATTTCTTATGCCCACTTCCTGTTAAGAGGATAGAAGTCTCCTGTTACACAGGGTATTTCTCTCTCTTGATTCCTAAGTGTTTCTCATAACTTGAGCACTCTCTGGTCAAGGGAAAGGTCTAGGCCAGTGGTTCTCAACCTGTGGGTTGCAACCCCTTTGGGGAGTTGAACGACCCTTTCACAGGGTCGCCCGATTGATAACAGTAGCAAAATTACAGTTATGAAGTAGCAGTGAAAATAATTTTATGGTTGGGGGGTCACCACAGCATGGGGAACTGTATTAAAGGGCCACGGCAATAGGAAGGATGAGAACCACTGGTCTGGGCTTTATAAGATGCAGCAATTACACCATGGAGTGAGGACAGAGTGCCAGTTACAAATTGCTAAGGGCAGCATTGGACCATTTAGTTTCTCAGAGGTGCTTTTGCACTCCGGCGTGGCTTTGATGAAGCCCTAAAAGCAGTACCTGAGAACAGACACTTGTCTCCTGATAAGACGGGTATACACCATTGTACACAATTTGATCATTCAATAAGCATTTACTCAGTACCAAGCTTTTCATTTGGTGCCAATGATACAACAGTAAACAAACACAATCCCTGGGTTCAGGAAGCTCACAGTGAAGCCATAGACAAGGAATGCTTATCCTAAATTTATCATCAATAATTGATTTTGAGATTATCATGTTCATTCTGGAAGAGCAGTCAGTTTACCAGATTCTGCAAATGGCATAGGACAGATCAGTGATAGACCAAGTGGCTGCATACAATTCAGAGGGTCTCTTGAAAGAGCAGTAAACTACGGCAGTCTAGTCTTCAAAGAAATTAAAAAAAAAAAACAGGAATTTCGGAGATGTGGATATGCTTATGGCTGTAGCACAAAAATCTTGTTTGGTAGGGTTAGGAGTTTCCTGTACTAACTAGAACCTGGTTCAAAAATACTCTTTAGGCCAGGAGTTCTTTTCCTTGTTTGAAAAGGTTAATTCTTTTTCTATCTGGATGAGATTTCGTGAACAGTAGGGGCAGCACAGCAGCAGGGCACCCCTTTCAGGATAGTTTAGGGTAGGTTAACAACAATTCCAAACGATAATGTCAAGCATAAATACATGACAGGAATCTATCTGGGGAGAAAATAGTTGTACAATTCAGAGTATCGGAGCCTGGCACCTGTGGTTAGATTGTGTTACGGAAGGTCAGCTAAATTATTTACCATCTGGGAATACTTATCGTCTCTTAATTTCGGCTATACTACTCAGGAAATGTAGCCAAAATAATCCTCCAACTTCTTCGGCTGAGTATTAAGAATTAATTAAGATAAGCCAAGAAAGTGTTTAAAGCAATATTTGGAGCATAATAAGCTCTCCTAAATTTAACTATTATTATTTCAACCTCCTCAAAACCAATGTGGCTGGGAGAGACCAGTAAAATAACTACCAGACGGTCTTTGAAAAGAGCTATTAGTTCCAAGAAACAGAAAATGACAATCCATTAATAATCTGAAACTGCCACTCAGAGGTAATTTTGACTGGATATAGACAATTCAAATGAGGTAATTTTGACTGGATATATCCAATTCAAATGATCCCCAAGGGGATCAATACTGCAGCAAAATCATTTCTTAAAGTTTATGCACGTAGTTTCGGGCAGTTCAGGATGGTTTCGCAAAAAATGGTCATGTGAAGCAGAGTTTCAGGTTTCTCTGAGCGTTTGGATGGTGTGCAGGTCCACAGTCATCTCTGTGATCCACTAGTTCATAAATGACTGGAAGATTAGAGATCATTGGAAAGGCAAGAAAGATGCTTGCTTTATCACACTCCTAATTTTTACTCAGACAACCCAACTTGTCCATATCGCAGGCATTCTCGAAATTGTGGGAAAAGAAACAGCCATTCCCGCTTTAAGAACCAGAGCTGCTCCTAATGGTGTCTGAGAAGTTGTACGGGCATCCCGTTCTTAAGCAGCCTTACTCTTTGCAAGAAAAGGCATGATGTCTTTTCAATGATTTAGAAGCTGCACTTTGTGGCAAAGGATGGCGATTATGATGCGAAGATTTTCTTGCCAGTAGAAGTTGGTTCAGTGAGGGCAACTTTACAGGTACACAGAATGGATTTTGAGCCCAAAGATGGATGCTTCACTCAAAAATGGAAGGGCCTCATTCAAAGATGGTGTCGTTCCACTCAGAGTACCTCACTTTAAGATGGCAGCTGGTCTCTCAACATTGAATGAGTGTGCCTCTCCACAGTCCTGCCAAGGATCCAGCGTAATGCCCCAGCCTCCTCAAAAGGCTTACTGCATTTCTTCCCAGTTTTCCATTCCTTACTCATGATTTTTCCCATTGTTACTGTTAAAAATCACCCAAATTATAAAATTTACAACGGTTCCCATTTTGTTTCAGAATCTATGATAGAGCCTGTTTGAATCAGTTAGATTCTATCCTTAAAGGGCAGATTTGCCCATAAGTCAGATTTCATTACCTGGGGACAGTGTTTATAGATAAAATAGTAAAACATTGGCGTCCTTGTGCACTGTGCTCTTTTAACATCTCTCTGCATCTGATCACCTTGACAACAGCAACTCAGAGCTCTAGCTCGGATACTTAGGGGGCAGTAAGTCCAAGGTAAAGGGCAAGGAGGGTGGAGAATGGATGCCCAGTTTCCAGGGGTATTCAATGTCACGGAACTGTGCACATAGGCACTGTTGACTTGATGTAGGTGATACTGTGTACATTAGGGTAGATGATTGTTGAAAAGATACACTGAGTCAGAACCCGCAGTGTAACCAGATCCCCAAGTGATTCTTATGTGCACATGAGCTGACTCCTGAATGCAGCCTGAGCTTCTAGGAGCTCATTGATAATGTCTTGTTGCGACCGCTTTTTAACGATCTGCAGCAAAATTTCACGTGCTGCAGATATTAATGGTAGTGTCAAAACTCATTTGACTATATGATTATTCTCTCTATTTACCACTAAAATTATGCGGAGTTAAATTTTTCCTTAAAAAAAACCAAAAACAAAACAAAACAAAATCCATACAGGCATGTCAAAGAAAAGGTATCTATTTCAAAAGGGTCACTATAAGCCAGCATCAACTCTATCAGTGGCTTTGGTTTGGGGTTTATTTCAACAATATTTGTTCCAAATAATTTAAAAATTACATTTAGAAGTTCATTGTGGAACAAAGACTTTCCACGTTAACAACTAAACCATGTTTAAATGATACATGATTAAATTTTCTTTAAATCTTTTATATTCATTGAAGAACATTTTTTAATGAAGTATTCTAATGCTAGCAGCTAGAAGTAAATCTTTATTAAAATGTGCTAATACTGTCATACATATACATATGTATGTGTGTATATCCATATATATGTATATTCACAAAGTTAGCCAGAAAATGAGATCATTTGTCTATACTCTTTTATACTAGCTTTTTTCATATTTAAAAATATCATTAGTTATTTTAGGTCATGAATCCACAGATATATGCTAAATATATTCCAATATATAATTTTATAACCCCCATTGCTTAGATTGTTTCCAATTTTCCATTATGATATACTACGATATCACAAAGCAGATTTTGCGTACACCTAAGACTGTGTCCTTAGAAAAACTCTTGTTGGAAATATTGTTATATCAATACACATAAAAATGTATGGCTTTTGGTATATAATCGCAGCTAACCCTCTTCTAGAATACTGTAAGACCTATTAAAAACCCACTGCTGTTGAGTTGATTCCACTCACAGCAACATTAGACAGGGTAGACTACTCTACCCACGCCATCTGTGAAGGATTATGTCATTTTGTAAAAGTGACATCCATAGTTAGGGGGAAATCAGCCATCACGAAGGATACTCAGAAGATTATGAAACTGCCAGATATCCTAAAGTTATAATTTTTAATAAAGTTTTCATAGCTGAATGAAGCAACCAGATTTCTTGTGGTAGTCTGAAGTATCACATTTAGTCTACATCTTACATAATCACCCTTTAAAGATGTCATTCTCAAAAATACCTCATTAAACTTTATAAGTCAGGTTACAGACGCACATACACTTAGAAGAAACCTTAAGCAGTGTCATCCTTGTCAGGTATGCCACTATAGGTGCAAAATTAACTAGGAAAGTTAATGATCATAAAACACACAGTTCCTGTTCTTAAGTGTCAGAAAAAACAAACGAAACAAAACCTTATGAGTAACGTTGCTTCACTGCATGAGAACTCGCAGTGAGGTGTTCTGTGCAGTAAGTGTCTGGTGCTGTTAGGTGCTGAGAAGGTGGTTCTGACTCACACACACCCCCACACCCCCACCCCCGCCAGCCTGTGCCCTCTTCACAATTTTTGTCATGCTTGAGCCCGTTGTTATAGATCCTGTGACACGCCATCTCATCAAGGACTTTCCTCTTTTCCGCTGTCCCGCCACGTTACCAAGCACCACGTCCT